TATCCATCTCCAAAAAATTATCTTACTTTTTGGGTATGTCTCCCTATTATAGAGCATTTATCAAGGACTTTTCGAAGATAGTTGAACCCTTGCTGGTTCTTAAACGCCAAAGAACTAGATTCATGTAGACTGCTGAGGTGAACACTTGACTTAAAGAATTAAAGCATGCTATTATTAGCGACCCAGTTCTTAAATTCCCGGAAAGGGACCAAAATTTAGAAATTGCAGCAGAGACATTGGATTATGCAACTGGCACAATTCTTTCCCAAAAAGGGCATCCAATAGCCTTTTTTTAACAAACCTTTAAGTGAAACCTTGAGAAATTACACTGCAACTGAAAGAGAAACTCTCAATGTCTTACTAGCAGTGCAAAAATTCTGCGTTTATTTTGGAAGCATCCCGATAACATTACACTCAAACAATGTGGTAGTCCGTCGCTTGTATTTGGGGAAAAATCTTTCACCCCAACTTATATGTTAGACTGCAAGACTTCAATTTAATTATAAAACATACACTGGGGAAGGAAAATATAGTTGTGGATGCACTATCAAGACTTAAGACTGACAAAGAAGGAAATACAATTAGATGTGCAGTGCTAACTTCTAAAGTAATCGAGTCCCATGATAAAATAATTTCGGAATTAAAAATGGACCCTAAATTCAAGGATATTTATGCATATCTTGAAGACCCTGAACATTTTGAGCACGTGGACTAAAAGGCTATTCGCAGTAGAGCAGCCCATTATGAAATCATTGATAAATTACAATTTTACAATGAAAATAACTAACGATAGTCAAGAATACCAGCAAGTGATCCTAGTGAGTCTATGCTTAAATATTTTAGTTGGGCTGCAAGATTCGCCCATTTCGGATCGTTTAGGTATAAGAAAAACCTTGCAAAGGCTGCGGGAAGCGGTCTACTTTCCGCAGTTACAGAGGGTGGTAACGGCGTATGCCAGGTCGTGTTACTTGTGTCAATTAATTAAAGACATTAATTACAACCTGGACAGGTACTTAAATAACACAAAATAAATAACACAAAAACCACTTTCCCAAATGAATTAGTTGGCATTGATTTGCTCAGACCTTACCCTAGAAAAAAACTAAATAAAAACAGATATCTGTTAACTATCGTTGATCATTTCTCAAAATGCGTAGAAACAATTCTCCTTAAATGAGCATTAGCAAAAACAGTAGAATATTCATTTCTAAACAAGTACATTTAAAATACGAAGCTCTAGTAAAAATAATATTGAATAATGGGAAACAATTTGTAAGTAACTTTAAAAAATCTTTGCACAGGACTTGGCATACGCCATCTAAAAATGATACCATATAGACCACAATCAAATATTGCAGAATGTGTAAATAAAAATATAGTGAAAATTATTCAGGGATATGTGAAAAATAATCATGGGATAGCTGTATCAATGAGTTAGCACGATACTACACAAGAACTCTTTTTTAGGGAGAAAGATTTTAACTCGCTTAGAAAAACTCCTTTTTGTGCAGCAAAGGCAAGAAGAATTTAAATTGAAGGATATCCAGGAAATTATTAATGATGAGATTCAAAATTCCAATGCAGCAAGGCAGAAACAGAAGCTGTATTATGACAGAAATAGACGAGATGTAGAATACACTGTCGGTCAAAAAGTATTAAAAATAAAACACTCATTATTGTCTGCATCAAAAAACAAAGTTACCAAGTTTGAGTCCACGTTTGAAGGGCCATACATTATTGAAAGGAATAATTATGTGACTTTCTATTCTATTTAAAGCCTCCAAATGGCCAGTAAAGTTGCTAAATGCTATTTAAAGCAAGAAGTTTGAATTCACAAGTTTGCGAGAATTTAGTTTGTAATTATCTTTTAAGCAGAAAGATTTTTGAATTCACTGGTTGGCGAGAAATTGGTTTGTAAATATATTTTTGAGAATTCGCAAGTTGTGAGAAACTAGTTTGTAAATATCTTTTAGTCGGAAAGACTTCAATTAACAGTGAAAATTGTTAACTTAAAATTAAGATTTTAGGAAAAGATTGTAAATTTTTGTATAGCAACTATAACTGATGATGTAAAATGAATTTTAAAATGTTATATGTTAAACATGGAAAATGTTATACTGAAAGTAAAAATTTTTAAATGCCAGTTGTAAAAGTTCTTTAAAAGTTAAAATTGTATACATGCAAGCTTTGGTCAGAACGCAAGTGCATAAATCTTGTATAAGTGAATGACTAGAAAGTACAGAATGATGAATGTGTGTAAAGTTAGGCTCTCCAGCCAACACTTTAAAGTTTAAATCAAGCTCTCTTTTAGCACATTAGGTGCAGTTTTATATTTAGGGAGTTTTCTAAGGTCTTGAATGTTAAGTTTTAACAAATCATAGATGATGGTTAGTTGGTAGCGTGTATTGGCTGTAACACAACAATGACACTCCCAGTTCATTCAGAATAAACATCTGGAGAGAGTGGGGGGAAGAAGAGTTAAAAATATGTGTGAATGAAAGCTGTTTGAAGGCCAAAGAATTCCAATAAAGTGTATTTGTAAGGAAAATGGAAATATTGGTGAAAGATAATACTAATACTGTTTCCTTCCAGATAATTTGGAAGGACCAAAATGAAATAGCATATTGAAACTCAAGAGCAAGCAGATGATTGTATCTAATTAAAATGTAAAATTCGTAAAAATTATTTTTCTTAGTTTGAGTCTAGCTTTAGATCTTTTGTAAAGTTGGCCTATACAGAAAAGTTTAAAGATCAGATTGATTGAAGAAAGCAGAGTTTTAGAAGTTTAACATTCAACTTTAAGAGGTTTTTGTAGAATTTACATTCTTAAACAAAGTCATTGTGAGACCTTATTCTTCAAGTAGTTAAATTCTGGTGAGGAAAGATGTAAGGTTTATCTTAAGTTTTTAACAGTTATCTTTAGTTAAAGCCACTTTCCTGTCCTTCCTAATTCCAGCTTACAATATTCTGTTAGAATGTGATTTTAGACTCGCGTTTAATGCAAATGAGTAAGAGTGGTATTTAAGTCAAAGTTCCATGGTCTTCGGGAGACAGCCTCAGAGTTTCTGACTAGCGTGCATTTGCCTTTTGGCTGTATCTCTCTCTAAGCCATTACAATGCTCGGCCACATTACAAGTCCTTGATAGCTTTGCTACCTTATTTGAGATTTAGGGGCCAACTACTTAGAATTTTGATAGCTTCAGCTATATCTCTTTAGACAAGCATTAGTCTTATTTCTTATTACTTTGAATTCAAGCCCAAATGGAGGCTTTGCGTGCCAGTTGTAAAATGGAGGCCCAAATGGAGGCTTTGCGTATGCCCTGAGAAAGGGACCGTCTGTTTAAATTCTTATTTTGAGAAATAAAGGGTAATTAACCCTTCTTGAGTTTACATCTCTGCTCCTGAACTAAAGCGATTATTTTCTTAACTGTTCACGAGGTTCTTGCACATTTAGCTGTTAGATAAAAGGTGGATTATCTACCCCCCAATTCTAGCAGAGACAAAATAAATCATCTTTGATTTATGACCAAACATAGAACTTGACTAGTGTAATGAGTTTAATATGCCAATTGAAAAAACTTATATATTAATACAACAATGCATCTACACCATAGTTTATTAACTTTTTTTTGACTGACTACCCCTTTTCAATGCTAAATTTTATTCAAAATTTCATTCGGATTTTAACATCATCCCCCCCAATTTTCCTGCGACAATGATACTTTAGGTATCTTTTTAAAGGCCATCTGATTGGGAAGTTAAACTATTAAATACTCATTTACAGCACCTGTCCTGATTCGAACTGTTAATCAAAATCTGTCAAAAATTTGGGAAATATTAGTACTAATTAAAGGCTAAACTTATTTGTAATTAGTGAAATAAAACTTTACCATTACATCCATGCTGATCTTTAAGAACCTACATGCTATGTGTATACATTGGATAACAGCAGAAGTACAGATCAATTATCTAGTTTTAAGAATTTTACACCAATATAAAATAACTTGCATTTTTTTTTTTTTTTTTTTTTTTTTTTTTTTATGTTCCTTGCACAAAGAATTTATTTACTTAGAACTTGAACAGCAGTACGAGACAAGGACATCGTGGTACAATTCTTATAAAAGGACATACCTATAACTTTTGCAATGAAAGCAAATGCTTATGTATTTTTTAAAAATTGCTTAGACTACTAAGTTTCTCAAGAATAATGCTTCTAATAATCCCTTATCTTTTTTAATAGTAGCAATGCCTGCGGATTTCTAAGTGTCACAGCTATGTATTATTAAAAGCTAATAATATATGGTGGCTCCTTTACTAAACAAACAAAACAAAAACAAAAAATCGTTAAAGAGTTACAAATTATGAAATTGATAATAAAACAAAATTTAAATCCATTTTTGGATCGATGTTTATATTCAGTGGAAGATTACATTTTCAAATTGATGGCTTAGGTACGTTTTTTTATCACAATGCGAGAAACATAAAAATTTGTGTAGATCTTATTATTTAAATTTTAATATAAACAGGCTCTAATATTTGGTTTAAATAATTGAAAAGTGACCTGTACATCCTCAGTATTACATAATCACACCAGTTCAGGTAAATTTTAAAAAATTGAGGAAAGGAGAATTTTTTACCATCTTTCTCAATAACATATATATTTTTAAAGCATACTCACAATAAAAATAAACATTAAAAGTAAAATTTTAACTAACATATACTTCACATTTTTATTATCTCCAGAAAATTTATATCATTTAGAAAACAAAATACACAGAATAAACGTTACTTAGGAACATGCAAGTGATCCACATGTTACAGTAATAATTTTAAAATTAAGAAAAACACACCATAATACAATGATCATGACCTGTATCTAAAAAACAAATTTTAGATTAAAAAATATTAAACAATATTAGCTTTAATTTTCATATTCTAAAAATTATATGTATAAATATATAATGTGAAATACACTTTTGTCAGCTCTAAATAATACTTACAGGTGTTACTGTGATCTGATTTGACAAATTTTTCAAAAGAGGATACTGGTGTAAAGGATTTGAGCTGAGGTTTTGTAAAGAATTTGATGGAACTGGTGCTGACGTGCTACTGGTTTCTGCCTTTACTACCTGTTGATTTGATCCTAAAGATGTAGCTGACTTCTGAGGACCATTCATATACTGAGAAGAATGAGATGAAGGATGGGGCTCTAGCTTAATGTCCTATAAATTAAGTATATTATTACATATTCTTTTGACAAATATCAAATACTGCATCTATAATAACTGAAAACAAATGTATGGTCCTTCAAGACTGTGCAAACAAAAAGTTAGAAGATATACAAAAGCTACACAAAAGTTATGTGGTGAAAGAAAGGGAAAAAGAAAGGGATGTCACACATTGAAAGATGTGTGACTAGAATCCTGGAGAGGGCAACTTGTTTTTCCAGTTCCAAATAACTTAACAATTTTTAATTTGGTAACCAAACTAAAATTTGTAGGATGAAAATTCACCACCACATGGATTTAGTTGACTGAATCTTCTGCCTTAATGTCTTTAAATGGGAAAGAATGAAAAGAAGTATATTATCCTTCCCTTAAGAATAATTTATAAATCAGTGATCGCCAAAAGGTGGTCCACGGACCATTGCTGGTCTGTAAAACTTTTTGATGGTCCGCAAAAAAAATTGGGACATTACTTATATTTTTATGAAGATTCAGTTTAAAAATAATGAGTAACAAAACCTATTATGGAATACAGTCAAAAGTCGTTAATTCAAACACCCATAATCCGGACCTCAAAGCTACAAACTTTCTGCGCATGCGTCGTGTTGACGCATTGGAAACTTTAAGGCTGGAATATGCGTGTGCGCATGCGCAAAATACGTTTACGCATGCGGAATGTATAACGACGGTATAAGATACTAAAATGATCTATTCAATTATGTTGCAGATGCGTTGCTCCTTAATTTTCAAATTGATCCGCTTATTATTTTTGAACTGTTAGAGCAATTTTATAAAAGTAGCTTGAACTTTCGATTATGTCAAATAGAATTTCGATATATATTACTATATGTAAGGATCTACGAGCGAAAGTATTTTCGGAGTCATTAAACAAAGTGAATTGCTGCAAAATGCTAAAGGCACATCCGTTGTTACTCCATTCCGAAATCGGTTTTCAATTCACGCTGCTCTGCGAAGGTGCACGGGCCACAATGAGTTTAGTTTGATCTGTCACACTATCCTTTCTCACGCAGATGTTTTCATGTATTTGGCTTATAATTCCGTACTAATGTAGATTTCATCTTGTGTACTCCTCTTATATGGTTTAAATCAATTCCTCGTCATTATAATTCGTTCGATAGTGAAAGAAAAGAGAAAGAGGGATTGAAACGAAAAATTTTTGATGACAAATTCTGTATTCTCGACACTGCATTATAGGACACAACGCAGACTTTAACTGAAGAAGAAATTATGTATTTTAGAATTAAAGAGAAAGTATTACACTAAAATGAAGCACTTAAAACAACTTAAATTGAAAGAATGTTTATAAGTAAACATAATATTAAGCTTTTTTTTTTTTTTTTGTAAATTTATGCCCTTGTAATATTGTTCTTATTTCATACTTCCGGTTTCATTTTTAATTTTATAATTTCTACATGCCATCTTACCAGATGTAAACTGATGATCTATAATCCGGAAAAACCGATGCTGCGGAATCGCCGAAGTCCCGACGAGTCTGGATTAACGACTTTTGACTGTATGGATGATACTTTTTTTTTTTTTTAAATTTTAGCTACTACTTTTAGCGAAATTCCTCCTGAAATTAGCGACTTTTAAGCTACTTTTGCAGGTGTATCTAGTGACATTTGAAAGTGAGATTTGACATCTAGGGGTATGCTGCTGTTATCAATAACAGTGTAAATTGGAATTCTCTTTCTTTTTGAATTAAAAACATATGCTACTGTAGTCATTAATAACACAATTTTTCTCTGTGTCAATAGGCAACTTGATGGATTTTTATGAGAACCATCTGCATTCTTGTTTATAATTGCATCACTGGAATGACATGTTTTACCCTCTTGCAGTTTACCAGCGTACATCAGATTTTTTGGATATGTTTATTCCAAATTGAATATGGGATGAATTTCAAATGCATTTATTCTAATTTATTTTCCATTATATATGTATAAAAATTTTCATTTTTGTTTGTATAAATTTTTGAGCTATATTATATAGGGAGGAAAAGTATTTAATATAAAAAAAAGAGCATGATCTATAGTTATGGTTTAACATCTTTACAACCAAAATGGCTCATACAGTTTGTCATACAAATGAATAATAATCAACCAACTGCACACCAAATACAGGAGTAACCTCTCGTCTATGCTCCCTTTACAGTGGGGGTTTTCAACCAGGGGTAATTTCATAGTTATTTATGAGTTAAGTATTCAGTTCTAGTTTATGAATATAAAAAACTACTTTTATTCAAGTACTGGTATTCATTTTACCCTTTATTTAATTTATAAAACATGTTGAAAAATCACCTAAATCTAGATAAAAAATATATTTATTTTTCGAGATTTGGAAAGGACAGAAAGAAGAACCTTCTAGCAATGGTGCGAAGAGAGCATGGGGCAAAAAAAGTTGAAAACGCCTGCTACAAATAATATAAATAGGTAAGGCTAAGTGGCCGTAATTCACCTGAGAATTAAGCTAGGGCTTATCTTTCCAGCAGATAAAAACTGTCTCTTTGTCTAGGAAGGATATTTTCAGAATTTCCCTTTAAAATCAATCAATAAAGGAACATTTTCTCACTGTTCTTAGAGATTACAGAAAAGCTTCTCTTTCCAAGGAGCTTAAGTATTCTGACAAATGCTTTTATTTTTCGAAGAACAGGAACAGACACCTCATAAATGAAATGTAGAATTTTTCTATAACATGAGCATCTATCAAAATTTGTATTTCACCTAAATTTAAATTCATTTTAGTATATGACTTGTTCTAGATCAACACAGAATTTTTTATGATAATGTAGTGGAATTTCAATGGTAAAAAATTTATCTTTAATGTCAGCCCCTCCACATACAATCTTGATGGTTTGATTCACAGTCTGTAAATCAGAGGTGCAGTGTGCCTTGAACCTGTAAAAAAGGAACAGTGCCACTATCTCTGTTTATTAATCTACTCTAGAGCTCTTTAGACTTTTAAGAGGCCATAATAACTTTCAACAGTATCTCTTAAAAAAAAAAAAAAAAAAAAAAAAAAAAAAAAAAAAAAACCTTTTCGAATCTCTATGGATGCTCTGAATTGATGGATACGTATTACTTTCTTAAAATATACTGCTATGAATTCAATACAAACTTGTTACTAGGAGACCTGATATCTTCTCAGGGGTCCAGTACCTAATGTGACATTTAAGATTCTTCATTAAAAAAAACTATTGATAATACCATTTGACACTCTTTTAAATTTCTCTGTTCGGTTAACGGGAAGGAAGAGAGGAAATTCACAGTCTTACATGAGATACATGAGATACTGAATGTAATGGTATTTTAATAACAGAATCTGACAAAGCACTTAGCATTTAAAGAGTTAATGAATTTAAAAAGTTTGACATTATTTTCAATCATTTATATGAGATACTGTTCACTGAATTATATGTATTAACAAATCAGGTATTAACTAATAACAATTAGTTACTCTTCTACTAATTAAAAAAATTGAAGAATATGCAAATCATACAAATTCATAACTATTGGATATTTTAGTCAAACTAATTTCTAATGCTTCAAAGATTCTACGATGATGCACTCCCTCAGAGAATTTTTAACCAGAAGCACAAATATAGACTTTGGAAGGAGGTAAATGGGACAAGAGAAATGAAAACTTAGTTAGTGAAATCTACATATGATATATATTCATATTTGATATACATTTATATAAGTACTATATAAAATACTCTTTGAATGTTTCCAAGCAATCAATGCAATAATTATATAACAGGTCAAATCAGATTGTTAAATTAATTACTAAGTCATGATATAATTATTGGACAACAGTTTATTGGGTACTTACGTATTAGCACAACCACCTTGGCGCAGTTTAGGGAAATTTTTTGGTAGGGTTTGAAGGCGAAAAATAATGACTTTGTGGTAAAAAAATTATTATATACATATATTACTACATAAAAATTTTATGTTTCAACTATGTATATACTTCAACAAGCAATCAATAAGTGTTTTATAAGAGGGCTTTTGTGTCTTTGTTCTGGTAGAAATTTTATGTTGATTGCCCTGAGCAAAGATTTGAAGCATTGTTTCTTTAGTTATTTTGCAGCAAAATACCTGCAAAAATTTTACCAGACCTTCTTCTAATGCAAGCAAACTTCCCAAGCACATATTTTAAAATCAAGTTTAAGAGAAAATATTACCATGACTTGTCCATGAAAACAGTTAAAATTTGGAAGAAAAAAACTGCATACAAGAATGATCATGTTGGTTATTCTAACTGAAGAACTGTCATGCACATGCTTGCCTGAAAAATTGTTAAAGCTAGAGTTTGGCACATTTTGATATTCTGGTGATTTCTAATAAGGTGGTTGCAAAAATACACAAGTACAATTTACTGAATGATAATTATAGTAAGTAGCATAAAACTGTTTTTTTTTTTTTTTTAATGTGTTGAGAATTATTCATTTAATCATTCTTTTACTTGATTTTCCCCCTTTTAATCTTTTAATCTCAAGTTCTTCTGATGCAACAAAAAATTTACAATCAATTTCTGTGCAATTTGCAGAGATTTCCCAAAGAATGGTTAATAAAGAAATCCCTCAATAAGGATTCAGACTTTATAGTTCTTAGACGTGATTTTTACTGTTTAAGTCTGAAAAACATTGTTTCTATAATGGTAGCAAAAACTTAATACCTTTTAGCACATGAATATATTATTATTTTTATTAAAACAAGTTAGAATGTTTCTATTTAATGCTTTTATTAGAATGCAAATATTTGGAAAACAAATGTTATCTTGCACTAAAATATCACCAGGAGCAGTAAAAGATATGATTAATAAATCTGCTATTTATTTATAATCATTAATCATACTGGACTATTATAATTAAAATCTCAATGCTACAATAGCCTCCAATAATAAAAATCATGGTTTATGCAGAATTCTGGTATGAATTCTGCTATGATTCCATGGATGCTTTTTATCCAGTTCCTTAATTTTTTTTGGACGGACCATGGTTTTATTAGCCTACTTTTAAATACCTAACCACTATGAATGGACAAACGAATTAATTATTTTTGTAAAAAAACATAATTAAAAAAAAATACAGAGAAAGAAAAAACAAGAAAATCAAAATTCACCCATCCTTAAGTTCTTAGAATACACTACAGAAGCTTTCCTATATTTGCATTTATTAAGGCCTAGCATAACATGTTCCAGACACTATACAAGATTATAAATAGAACAAAATGTTAACAAAAAGGAAATTACAAAAGCTACCTACTTTTTTGCTCAAGTATTTGTTATTTGACACAAGATGTTTGCTTGGCAGTGGCTGAATTTGAAGGCCAGACTTTTGAGATACAGAAAGGTTCTTATGTGGTAGATGTCCAATAATTGATGGTGATGAACTACCATTCACTTCTGGCTTAGATTCTTTGGTTTTTTGGCTTTCTTTTAACTTCCTAAGGAGAACAAGTTTCATTTCTTCATCACACAGCTGCTTTTTAAGCCTCTGAATTGTCAGTTCCCACTCTTCAAGTTCTTCTTTGGACTTCATTTTTGTTACTGGTGAAGGAATTGGGCTGCAATCTGAATCACTTTCAGATTCACTGCCTTCTCTCTGTTCATCATCTGATATAACAACGACATCTGGGGATGTTGTACCACCATAAGATTCTGTGAACCTGGCTGCACGTTGAGGTTGAATACGTTTAGGCTGTAAATTATTGGAAAAGTCATCCGATTTCGGCTTTTTAATTTGGGCACTTTCCAATCCATTAGGCTCTAATATTTCTATATCATCAGAGGTAGATTCTACAGTTTTTCTTTTTGCAGTAACATTGGTTGGCCGACTAAAAGCCGGAATTTTTGCCATATTTGCATAGCTGATGTTCTTTTTTGGACGACCTCTGCTTCGCCTGTGTAAGAAAAATAAAATATATATATATACATACATAATATAATTACCTAAGATATAATAAAATACGAGGCTACGCTAAGAAATGGTTGGCAACCTTAAAAGTGACTATTCTAAATTTTATGTTCTCCCCCCAAGTTCATCTGTTCTCCCAAATTCGAGATCTTTCCAAGTTACATAACACTGCTTGAAAAAGGGAATTAAAACCAAACTTAGCCAATCGCAGCTTAGCTTTACATATGCACCTACCTAGTATAAATATTGCTTTGCGAGCAATTATGTCCTTTCTTTTCCTAACTTCTGCCATGCAAACATCTCTGCACTTCTATGCTTTCCTGTCTAAGATGCTTATGCCGTACTTTTAAAACCAGTGTACATAAAAATTATCATATTTAAATATGACTGGATAAATACCTTGTCTACCAAAATAATCTGATATGAATTATCATGGAATAAAATTATGTTTCGAAAGAGCCACGTCTGGAAGCTTTTGGTTTAAGAAATCCATCTTTATAACTACACATTAAAAAAGAGTCAGCTAGGCTATGTATCTGCTGCCTCAAACTCCAGTGGAAAAGTATTTGCAAGTTCATCATTCTAAAAGTTAGATATCATTGAATGAATCATCAAATTGGTTTTCGGTGTCAGAAAATGACAATGATTTAACGACGTGTTCAAAAGTGCTTTGAAGGTCACCGAATTGCATGTTTACTATATTGCTTCCTTTGGATGTTACGCAAATAAAATATCAGAGTGATTCTGTAATGGTGATGGACAACATGATTAATTTGCAATGAAAACCCCCAATGGGTACTGTGCGCACATCAACTGAATGCTGTTTTTCTGCGTCTTTACTAAAGTATGTCAAGGTCGCCTTCTAATGATGTTAATGATGATCTTACGCATGTCATCGAATATTCAAGTATGGTGCTTCAATTTTTTTTTAAAATGTGTTTTCATTGTTTTTAAAAGGGGTGTGCTTCATTCTGCAAATTCTTCAGAAAAAGTGTGATTCAGTGATAATTAGTCAGAAAGTTAAAAAGAATTCTCAGTGGTGTGTTTCAATTTTCGGAAAAAAGTAAAAAATTAACAATGGAAACCAAATCTCAAGCAAAAACGGCTACAGAAAAAAACTGAAATCACTACAGTAAACATGGACAAATTTCAGGTGTGCAGTATTTGATAGTTCAAAATAGCCTTTCTAATAGATAAATATTTTTTATTGTTTAAGAAAAAATGTGCCAGCAAAAATACGACTGATACAGAGAAACCATTGGTGTTTATAGAGCATTTGCAGAGAAGCTCAGTCCTTTTATGTACGCGAATGTGTAGATTTGGAATGGTAAGTCCTTAAAGATAAATTTCTCACCTTTTTTTTATAGTGCCGAAACTGTTACATTTAATGATTTTGTGGTTATTACTTATTCTAAATTCAATGATAATGATAAATATTTTCAACAAAAGTTGAGATATGCTAAATGACAAATTTTAAACTGAAGCTTTAAATCAGGGACTGCCAGAGCGAGAGAGGTTGTTGCTAACTGTGCAAAATATCACTTCCTTGCAGGAATATCTTTAGCACATAAACTTTTTCCTACCTCAAGTCACTGGGAGAAGTGAATAATACACCAAAATTTTCAACTCCACAGGCAAAATTTACAGCAAAACTTTTACCAGCCTAGATATCATACTCCAAGGGTCTTTTATCATAGGCAGTATGTACCTCAAAATCAGGCCTGGAGAAACTTCCAGCCACAACAAGTGGCCTATCATTATTGGCCATTTCCTTCTTTAAGCTATTATAATGCAGATTCCCAAAAACTGTACCTAAAAAATTAAAGTATTTTAAAGTAAATGTTCAGTGTAGTCAACAAAATCATTCTGCCATTATTGATACAGGGTCAGATGTTAATGTAATATCACAAATTGTATTAATGCATAAATGGAACTTATTGAGAACAATCCCAAAACAAAATTATTATCGCTATCTGGAGGTCTTTCTGTGACCAAGTAATTAAATTGTAATTAAATTATCATGCATAATAGGTAGACATACGAATAATATAGTATTTTATGTTGTGAGTTCTAATCTGACATATGTATTATTATCATCATCTTGCGTTTCTTTATTTAAATTGCAATTGAATTTTAATAATTATGAAGTATATCAGTTCAAACATATAATAAGGTACTCAATTAGATAAACTTTTCAAAAAAATAATTTTGTATGTAAAAATGGTGTAAGTACTAAGAAACTTGGTAATTATGCTGAAAATGGTGAAACTGCTAACAATCAATTACAACAATTGTTAAGTAACTATAATCATATAATCATATAATCAAACATGTAATAATTAAAGGTACTCAATTAGATAAACTTTTTCAAAATAATTTTGTATGTAAAAATGGTGAAAGTACTAAGAAACTTGGTAATTATGCTGAAAATGATGAACCTGCTAATGATCAATTACAATAATTGTTAAGTAACTATAATTATATACTATTTCCAATAAACAAATATGATGTGGGTATCAATATGGAATCTTCACGAGTAGTTTAACTTCAGAATTGCCTATAGCTTGTAGACCATACAGTGAAATAAGTGAAATTAAGAAGAAAAAAAAATAAACGAATTGTTAAACGCTAGTTTAATTAAACCTTCATTCAGTCCTTATGCTGCTCCTGTAACTTCAGCTTATAAGAGAGATGAAAATTCAAAAATGAAGTAGTGTGTTCACTACCAGAAACTTAACCAAATTACTAAAACAGATTCTGAACCTATTCCTTAAATTTATGCCGTATTAGATCAATTAACGAATGCAAAAAATCTTTTCCACATTAGACTTAGCATCTGGTTATTGGCATATACAATTAAATGAAAAAGATACTGAAAACTTAGCATTTATCACAAATTTTGGCCTTTATGAATTCAATAGATTACCTTTTAGTTGGAAAAATTCCCCAGCTGTTTTCCAAACAGTCCTTAGACAACTTTTTAACAAATGTCAGATTTTAGTTTGCTTTAAATTATTTTGATGATGTTATAGTATTTTCCCTCAAATTTTGATGAATATCTCAAACATCTTAAGATAATATTTGACATAAGTGCAAAAGAGAATATAAAATTAATTGATTAGATTAGATTGTTTGTATTTAAGTGTAACTTAGATTGTTTTAATTGCTAAAGAAAAGATAAAATTTCTAGGATATGAAGTTCAAACAGGAAAATATCAGCCTAGTAATGCAAATATTGAAGTTATTTAGAAATTACAACCCCCTAAAAATGTTAAAGAACTACAAAGATTTTAGGAAGTATAAATGTATACCATAAATTTATTCAAAATCATGCAAAAATTAGAGCCCCTTTAACAAATTTACCTAAAAAAGACATTCCTTATAAATGGACAACAGAATGTCAATTAGCTTTTCAAAATTAAAAAGATGCATTAATTTCGAGACAAATTCTAACTTTGCTTAATCCAAAATATCCTTGTAATGTACTTGTAGATACATCTAAAGAAGCTGTCAGGTGCAATTTTAAAACAAGATGGTAATCTTCATCCAATTGTTTTTCATTCTAGAAAACAAAGGTCCTACGAGCAAAATTATGCTATTACTAAATGAGAATGTTTAGCCATTATTGTTGCTATAGATAAATTTTACTATTATTTACATAGTAATCATTTTACAGTACATACTGATCATGCTGCTTTAGTTAAACATCCTACAGGTATGTTATTTAGAGGATCTTTACCAATGTATGAGTTTGATGTAAAATATAAAAAGGGTTCTACTAACGTTGCAGTTGATATGTTAACTAGAAATCCTACTTGTCAACATTTGAATTTGCAAGTTAATTTATTATCATTTAAAAAAATTAAACAGCATCAAAATTTAGATAATGTATATAATTCTAAGTATAAGAAAATTAATGATGTGTTAACTATTAAAAAACAAGGATTATACAATACCAATATCTCTTCGCACTACTTGAATAAGCTCATCTTAATTTTGCTCATATTGGTGTGTCCTCAATACTAAATTTATTATCTCAATATTATTGGTCAGGAATTTTTCAAGATATTAGAAATTATTGTACACATTGTGAAGTATGTCAGCTTAATAAGAAAAAGAAATAAAAGAAATTTGATTTAATGCAAGCCTTACCTGCTATTAGTGAACCTTTTGAATTATTGTCTATTGAAACTATTGGTGGTTTAAATTATCATAATTCTACTAAGAAATATATTCATATTATTACTTATCATGCTACCTGTTATATATGGACTTTTGCTTCTAAAAGTGTAACTACAGATACACATATATAAATTGTTTAAGACATATATATATTGTTTAAAATAAATTTTACAATTTCAAGTAACAAAGAAAATTTTATGTGATAGAAATGCTGCTTTTTCAAAATTTAAACACTTTTTAAGAAATCACAATATAAAACAATTATTAATTACTGCTAACAAGGCCGCAAACTAATGGTAAAGTTGAACGAATTAATCAAACAATTATAACTAGGCTACAATGTAAATTAACTTCTCATCAGGGTAGTATTGCATGGACAAAATTATTACCACAGGTTACTGAAGAATATAATAATACACCACATTCTGTAACAAAATTCCCACCATCTTATTTAACGTATGAAAAATTACGTTGTGATCCTCAACTTGAAAATCAAGAAACATAACCACCAACTGAAGAAGCTAGAAAAATGGCCCCCAAAAGGTCTGATGATTATAATAATGTAAATAAAGAAAGATATGACACCCATTATAAATCCAGTAATTTTAAAATAGGTGATTTAGTAATGTACGAAGAATTTCAATATCCTAATACCCATAAACTTTCTCCTCTCAACCAGACTCAGACCTTTTAATCCAGCTGGTGAATTTAAATTAACAGCTAGAAATAGCAGAATCCCTGTTTCTGTGCAAAATTAATTTATTTTAGTTTTCCAAATTCGGCATCAAAATTTTTCCCGATTAT